CGCTATATAGTCCGATCATGATCAGCTAGGTGCAGGTGCCAAGAACCTCCAAATCATGCCCCCTGCTCCCCTGACAGTGCAGTGCTGCGCCTTGTCTGACAGCAAACAGAGGGCACTTCAAACGGCAAGGATTTGTGCGGTGCTAAGTCGTCGTGGAGCCTTTGCCTGCCTCGTTAAACTTGTCTTGCCTGCTCAGCTGCTCGCTGTAGTCGCACGTGGAAATCTGCGGTGCTTGCTGTGTCTTGCCATGCAGTAGCCCAGTGGACCAGTGCCACAAGTCTCTTCTTTCATGTTAATATCATCGCGCTTATCTCTGTGATACACGTTTACAGGGTTGGTTCTGAATCGCTGCATGTGCGTTTCATGGAAGGTCCTTGCCAACTTGTGCGGGAGTGCTGCCGCCTACTGCGTGGCAACCTATGTCTGGCCCTTAGACCCGTGGGCAGAACTGGGATATTTAGGGCTCAAGCCACTCTCATGGTGGAGTTAGCATTTGTCCAAAGATGCAAAAATTCCCCGCACGTCTCGCTCCGGTCATTGTAAAGCTGTCTTGTCTGAGAGTCTTGTACAAAAGAATCATCGCCCGCCTTTCTGCCATCTTCCAGCTTCAGCAGGAAATTTGAGTGAAAAGCTACGAAGAATTTCGTCCGTGGATGTCCATAGTGCAATGCCACAGCATGTAGGAACATCCTGTGCTGTCGCGATTTGCCCCATGAAGTCAGATAATACTGCAATCATTAGTCAGTAGAGGCAGCCTGCATGAGCAGATGTGGTGCTTGCCGATGCTCCAGATTCCGAGCTTGGATTTCTGTTGGTCTTGCCTCACTGCTCCTTTTGGTGCGCAGTCCTTGCATGGCAGTGGTCACCTTGGAGAGCGAGTTCGGAACTAGGTGGCCTCAACTTGCAGAGGCCTTGGGTAAGCCAAAGAGATATGCCGTATGGGTCAACCCTTTCGCTGCCAAAGGTGCAGCGCAGGAGGTACTCAGGTCGCACCAGCTGGAACCCTTAACAGGCATTGCTGGTGAGGCGCACTTGTGGGCACCATCTGAAACCACGGAGCAGTTGCTGCCAAAGCCGCCGACCTGTTCCGTAACTGGTTTGAAGACCTACTATCCGCTTGATTTGGCCTCAGCCATGCCTGTGTTGGCTCTACTGCAAGCCTGCTCCTCCTTGCCGACTGCAACACTGGACACATGTGCGGCACCCGGTGGCAAGTTCCTTTTGCTTGCAGGAGCCCTGTTAAGAAACCACATTTTGCACAAGACGGATCTCGTGGCCGTCGAAAGCGACGCCTTCCGAGTTAGCCGGCTGAAGCAAAACCTCCGCTTGTACTTGCCCGACGACGCCTCGCGTCACGTGCGTGTGCACCGGGCTGACTCCACGAGGGTTCTTGGCCAGCTACAAGAAGGTCCCTTCGACGCTGTTCTGGTTGATGCACCGTGCTCCTCTGAGCGTGAGAGGCTGTTGCGGTCGCTGCGGCGTGGACAGAACACCGAAGTGTGGAAGCTGACCAAGGCCCAAGCAAATGCGCGACGGCAGGTGAGGTTATTGAGTTCTGCTTTGCAAAATACATTACCGGGAGGCATTGTCATCTATGCCACATGTGCGCTCTCACATATCGAGAATGATTTTGTCATTGAAGAGGTTTTAAACGATAGGAAAAATCGCCTGTTGCCCTTGGCACATGATGTACCGGGAGTGGAGATTGAGTCGACTCGCTACGGATGGCGGGTCTTGCCGGATCTCGGCGGCTGGGGGCCCTTATACTGGGCAGCACTGACCCGGCAAAGCCTTGTCAAAAGCAGCTGACATCCTCTGCTGATCCAGCGTTCGAAAGACGTGCTGGCTGCGGTCCCACTTTAGAAGCGCAGGGTTACGGTGCCTTCGATTGTTCGATTGCATGTTGTGACATGTTGTGACCACGATGAACTGTGAAGCTGTGTCCTAAGCCAGTTTCTGCGAGGTCTTGGGCATCGGTGACCGGCACCTCGACAACTTGCAGATTACACCGGAAGGTCACTTCTTTCACATCGACTTCGGCTTCATCTTCGGAGAGGCAGCCCCTCCGCCCACGGGAGTGTCCGTGTCCGATGTGAAAAAATGTGCTTGCGCATTCGCAGGACCCAAAGCCCTTTGCGCCGCGCCTGCGGCTGCCGCAACAAATTGCCAGTGTGCGGTGCTCATGATACTGTTATGTTGGAGATGGCACGACGAAGGTGCACAAACTTCCCTAGATTAGTTATGGGTTGAGCGAAGCATCAGTCACTTGCTTCTGTCAGTTCAAGATGTCTTTAGTGGACGGGCTTCATTTCCTATTTCGTAGGGCAACCCTTTATACCAATCGACTACCTCAGCCAGCTCTTGCAGTATGCATTCTGCCGCCACGGAAAATTCGGCGCTACACTGATACGGCAACGTCCTCTGTTTATCATCATTGGTATACTTCGGCTTGCTCTTCTTGCCAATCCGCATTTGGTATAACCATAGCTCTCAGTACGTCTTCGTAGACCTACTGCAGCAGGAGGCCATGCGGCTATGCGGGATAGCTCAGTCCATCATGGCGATTTCACCAGCCCGATCGACACAGGTCATTAGCTTGAAGCCTACATTCCGAGAAGTTCTGGGTTCAACACGACGGGCTCAAGTGCATCTCCATTAAAATAGAGCTGCAAGGCCTGACTAACCTGCGAAAGCCCCTCAGCAAGAGATCTTCGACCCCGTTTGCGACCCTTACAAAGTTTAGACGAGCCTGATTCTTTGCAAATCCTTAAACTCTCGCGGCTCTGTAGGTTCGCTTCGTACCCCAACTCCAGCCCTCCCATGAACCTACGAACCATTTCGAAAAGCTCCTGGTCGAGGTCCTCATGGCCGTGAGTGATGCAGAGTCGGGTGGCCACTAGCACCAAGCATGGGACTTTGGGATCTTGCTGAGGAGGAGGGGTCAAGTATTGCAGGACCAAAGTGCTGGGCTTTGTAGTGCTTCGGCGTGTTCTTTGCTGATGTGTCTTCTTGCCTCACCTATGCCTTGGCTCCAAGGCACGTTACTGGACCGATGTTTCCTCCTGGCCGGACGGGCATACATCGCACTTCGACGCTCCATGCCTTTGCACCGCTGCTGCGATGTTTTGGAAATTGGGCATTGGGTTAGCGGATGTTAGCAGCTACCGGCTTTGCCTATCACTTGGGAATCTGACTGCAGCGAGTTGGGACAGCCCTAAACCCTAAACCGTAATTAAACCCTATAAACCCTAATTAAACCCTAAACCCTAATTAAACCTTAGCAGCTTCGTCCTGACTTTAAGTACAGCTGCGTTTGCCTTAGACAGAACTGTATGAGGGGACCCCACAGAGACACCAGAAATATTGGCGACAACCTGGTGCTGTCGCTGACCGAGCATGAAGGGGGCGGGGGACTTTGGGTTGCTGACCCTTTGGGCCAAGTTACCATGATTCATCAAGGTCTTAGTTTGAAGGGTCGTGTGCAAGACATTTCGGAACCCTTCATTTTCCCTGCCAGGAATGTGCTTCATGCCACACAGCCATGGACTGAGCCCCGTAGGACCATTCTTGTAGCCTTTACGCCCATTGGCACTTTGACACTCCAGTCCCACAACCTCAATCCCCATAAGGTGAGACAAACGCGCATTCAGGACTACTTTCATTCCACCAATCTTGCAAACTGACCTCCTGCGCTGCAGCTAATTAGGGAGCTGGGCTTGCTTGCATGGTAATTGGGAAGACTTGTTTTTCCTTGCATTTCGGAATTCGGAATTTGGAATTCGGAGTTTGGCTTGGCTTTGCAGGAGGGCCTTTTGAGTTTGTTGAGTTTTGGATTCTTGTCCGGGAGTGTGAGCTTCTAAGACTAAGGGGCTCATGTGCAGTGCTGTGATGCTAGGGTGAATGAAGGCTTGGTGATGCGTGATGGTGTGTTGTATCAAAAACCCAAAACCAAACAAAAAACAGGCAGCAACTTGCTTCCACGACCGACACCTTGCGATTCCCTGCTCACCTGCCACTCCGCCATGGGCCGACGGCTGGGTCTCCTTTAGGGTTTTACTTCCTTCGGTGGGTCCCTGAATTGTTAGCTTTTGTCCCCCCATACTTCGAACCTGGGTTTTACTTTGAACCTAGGAGTTACGGTTGGGCTTTTGGTTTCGCCATGGCCAGCCCGTGCTGACTGACTTTCTGCCTGACTTCTGCCATCATGGAGTCCTGCGAGCAGCACTCGCACAATACCTGGGCCTTGACACGATGATACGACAGTTTCCCCCTCGGGTATCTTGACATAGGCTCACAGCTTGATTTGGTGGCCTCGTCTTGCCGCCATGTACCTGCGATGGGGTGGAGCCTATTGAACTTTGGCTGGCTGTTAACGGGCGACATGATCACGCGAGGCCGTGTCTCCGCTGTTTCTGATATGTACACTCTTTTCCCTCTGGCTGCAGTTGGCTGACGCGCTACTGGCCATACAACAGTCCAGGGCTATATCAGTTTGGGAGTGTCTATATCACGGACGGCTGTGTACCGGTTTTCCGCCAGTGGGACTGCGCCATGAGTTGCTTCGGATACGTACACTTCTTTTCTTTGGCCCGTGTTGGCTGGCGCGCTTCCGGCCGTACCAAATTACGGGGCCATGTCAGTTGGGCGTGTCTGTATTGTGGACGACTGGGTGTTGGCCCTCTGCCGTGGTACTGTGCGCGGGCTGGAACTGGGTTCACGAGGATCATCGCTTACCCAAGCCTATTGACAAACAGAGCCTTCCCTGGCCCTACCTTGCCCGACATCATGCAGCGGTTCTGAGTCTTGCTGAGGGAGAGATGGGAGTAGTGGTCTGTTGACCTGTTTGCTGAGCTGCATGTTCAGCTTGAGTTAATTGGTAATTCGTAATTGGTGACTTTAATTCGGTGCCTGCTCGGCATTTTGCCGCTTTTTGCTGCTGTTTCTGTGCACAGTCTTTTTGGTAGCTCTTTGTAGCTCTGTGGGGTTGTGTTGTGGAGCTTGCTCGACTCTGTAATGGGGTTTATTGCTGCGACATAGGCGGGCTTGGCCACAACATCACCTAGACGACTGGGAGTGGCGGCTTCTTCTTGGTGTCTGTGTTGCGGTGGTTTGTTTCCTTCGAAAAGCTGGCCATTCCTTGTCTAGTACAGTCCTTCCTTTGGTACGTCAGACAACCTCGCTAGTGGGCATAGATCCTCAGCCATGCGAGAGGGAAAAATTAAACCTTAAACCCTACAGCGCAGCACTTGTCCATCTCAGGTGGGTGTCGCTCCTTCGAGTCACGGGCCAGGCAGGTGGTGCAGGCTGCGCAGGATTGCGGGCAGATGCGAATTCTGCTGTCGTGGTTGTTACAGCTGCTTAGCTTTCAAGAGTTTGCTTGGCTGGCGTACCGATTGTTTTTTTCTACAAGACTACATAATATCATAAACTAACCCTGAAACCCAATCAAAAAACGTCTTCTCCTTTTGCAAGTCAGACATATCCGAACATACCCTGCAATGCGGACTCGTCCAAGCTAAGTGGGAGGGGAAAAAGCAACAAAACGCTTAACATGCTAAGAAACATCCATGGAAAAAACCTCCTTGGGTGCAGTAGTTCTCTAAATCAGGGTCCCTTCTAGCGTCCTTTTTTTAATAAGGCAGCCGTACTATTTTTGGGGGGCCTCGAAAGGGACCCTAATTTAGGGAACTAACCCGGGCCTTTACTCCGAGATACTACATGACATGATATGTTATTATAGTATACTGTATGGTGTGATGTTATTGGAAAAAGCCCTAGGACCCTAGACCCCTAAAAATTGACTTGCCAAACATGTGCCACTTCAGCAAGACCTAGAACCACATGCCTTGTCCGAGTGTGAGCGCCGAAACCCTTAAACTTTATCAACCCCTAGACCTTATACTCCCCAAAAAACCCCTAGAAACCCTAACCTTCTAAACCCCAAATCCTAATAGACCCTAAACCCTTTAAGCCCTAACCCTAAACCCTAAACCCACTTATGTGGCAGGGCAAAAAACCCTAAACCCCCTAAACCCTCAGCCCCTAAGACCCTTACCCAGACCCCCGGGAGGAGCCAGAAAGTAGATCCCTTAAGGGGTTCCTATAAAGTACCCTTTAGTAGTTTGAGTCCCAAATGAGGGGATCTACTTTTTAGATCCTCCCCGGGGTCATAACCCTAAACTTACTAAACCCTAAACCCTGAACCTTATAAACCCTAAACCCTCTAAACCCTCAGCCCCTAAGACCCATATAGATCCCCTTATAGAACCCTTATAGATGCCTTTAAAGGAACCCTAAACCCCCTCAGCCCCTAAGACCCTTACGGGCCTCAGGATCGGCTCCGCAGCGACCTGGGGAGCCACGGTGAGGAGGAGGCGGCCTCGGAGTTTCTGACGGCGCCTTGGACCTGGGCTCCGAATTTTTAGGGGTTTATAGGGCTTTATAGGGTTCCTTTAAAGGGATCTTTTCGGGTTCTATAAGGCTTGGACTTGGGCTCCGAACCCCTAAGGGGTTTTAGAGGGGATTTAGGGTTCCTTTAAAGGGATCTGTAAGGGTTCTATAATAAGGATCTCTCTGGGGGTTTAGGGGTTTAGGGTTTATAGGGTTTAGGGCTTTAGGACTTTAGGGTTTTAGGGCTTAGGGATTTAGGGCCTCTAAGCTTTAGGGCTTTAGGGTTTAGGGATGTAGGGCTTTAGGGTTTAGGGCTTTAGGGTTTGGGCCCAGTCTAGGCTTTAGGGCTTTAGGCTTTCGGGCTTTAGGGTTTAGGGTCCGAGTACCCGAACCGATTTACGTCCCAAAAGCCATTCGGAGCATGGGTTCGGGGGCCTGAATCCCTACCAGTGGATACGTGGACCCTCAGGGTAAGGGCTTTAGAAAATATGAGGTTTCTTAATACAAAATTTGGATGCGATAGTTATGATGGATTGGTGTGGTTAAGACATCTTCACGATCAATTCCATCATTATAATGATGACTCGTGACTTGTGTTTACTTGAGATTTGTTTGTTTTCAAAGGGCGCGGGTTCAGGTTTGAGCTTTGGGGTTTGGGGTGTTCATGTGCGCACGGCTCTTCGGAGTTCACAGGTAGCCTTAGGTTTTGGGGGTTCTGAGGCAGCCACACTTGCCGGGCTAGCCAACAAACACAAAGAAAGGCATCACATCGTGAATGGCAAGACTGGCAGCGAACACGGCAGGCAGAACGTGAAGAATCTTCAGCAGCATTCAAAAGCATCGTCGCCACCAGTCATCAGCATCGAGATTTTACTGGTAACTCATGACAGCATGTAGATGATCCTGAACCCGAGTTGCACATATTCCTGCATGCACAAGCAATACATTTATCATTTATCCCTGTCTATGTTCTTTCTCAAAATGAGCTATTAGGTTTGTTTTGCAGCGAATCTACAAGGAAATGGCTCTGCAGTTGATGCATGTTCTTTTTTGAATGGCGGTGATGCCTCTTCGTTTCAGACTTTCAGGCGCTACCAGACAGCACCAGCACCCTAACGACGGGAACAACAAATAACTACGACTGCTGCTCTTTGTTTGTTGTACTATTGCTGTTGCAAGTAGTTTCCCAGTAACAGTTCCGAGTGCTATTTCAGAACCATCTACCTCTATGGTGATGCCTACAGCTACCGCTAAATGCCACTGACACCACAGCCTTACCGTAGCTTGTGGATGTGCGGTGCCTTCTCTTACCTTTTGATTGTTCATGCAGTTGGTGATTGCAGCTGCTGTAACGCAGACCAATGCCAATGCAGTCTTGCTGCCGCTTTCGTCTTGCTGAGGTCTTGACGGAAAGCACGGAAGCACTCTACCCGGCCACTTAGCTAGAAGCGTGAATCATTGCTTCACACGTCCGAGCTGACTAGGTTAACCCGAAGTACTTACAGAAGACGTATCATGTGAATGTGTGTGTTGTGTGTGTGTGTCTTCGTAATGTTTATGCGGTACTACACATGTACAACCAACTTGCACAGTACCGCCAGGCATCGTCTAATTGAAATGTTCTATGTAAGCACATAGATGAACGCTAGTGTCTGTATGCATGTGCGTGTACATAAATGCACACATGTCTTGTTGCCACCAAGCCTGTCGAGTCAGTGAACGGGCTGGCCTTGAACAAAGGTTCTCACGGACAAGGTTCACCAGTTGGGCCTTTTCTGGAAGTGAGCAGCGCTACCTTTACCGCGATGACTATTCGCTACCAGCATAAGATAGCAAACGTATCAAAAAGCACAGCCCTGAAAAAACCCTCAAGACTACCTATGTTTATTCCCGGTGCCGAACAGTCGGGGCAACCGAGCCTGAAGCCCGAACCCCTTGCGGGTTTAGGGCTTCAGGCGGGCATGTGCAAGCCTGTTCAGAAGCGCTCTAGGGCTGTTCTTAGCGGCTTCTTTTCAACCTATGCAGCAGTTTCCGGAAGCCCTCAGGGCATCTCAGGGCTGCGATCGCGCTGCTTGCAGCCCAGACTCAGTGTCTGGGCTGTTTCGTGGTAGCATCCATTCGATCATGTCTCACTGTTCCCCATTGCCTGTGCCCAGGCGTGATTTGCTTATCCAAGAAAGAAACAGAAACACTTGTTGAAGCGGCTTGTGCTTCCGCATCACCTGAGGCTCTTCATGCAGAAGCTTCATAGGACGACTGTACTGTACAAGGGCCGTCGGGCTCTGATTTTCCGGAAGCTGTTCAGAATGCAAGGCGGCGCCACCTTCCATGTAATTTCTACAGTATGAGTTAAACTGGATCTACCTGAATCTGCCTCCTAGAGACGCTTTTCTTGTGTGCTCGGCTCCGCCTCATGGTCGCGCCCGACGATGCCACGGCTCTCACTGCATGGCGTGAGCCTGCTCGTCACGGCTCAATGCTCAGGAGTGGGGCAAGCTTGAACCTGCCTTGTAGCAACACGTATGTGTCTGTAATTAGCGATGTCAAAACTCTTCCTGGGGGTGCGTGTGTCTGTTAAATTGCGGCCTAAATTGTTGAATGTGTGTGCGTGGACATATGTATGTGAACTTCATTACAGGACCCAATAACTACGTGTAATGCTATGTCTGCAACGAATTCTATTGCACTGAACTGGATTGAATGAATGAAGGAATGGATGGATGAGTGAATGAATGCATGAGTTGAATGAGTGGATCAACGTATCCATGAGTCGATATACTATGTCTATGTATGTATGCATGCATGTATATTTGTGTACGCATTATTACCACGAAACGTAGCATGATGTAACATGCCATATGATTGTGCATAAGAAGTGTAACCTACGTGCTATTATCATAAAACGGAACGCAAAGACATCACAGACTATGGCTGCAATGCAATGTCAGTGTGAAAAACAACAGGTAAACGATCACACCCGTACATATATATATATACACATTTATTTATTTATAGAAAATATTAATATATATATACATACATACATGCACAGGAGAAGAAGTGTGTCAGTGTGTGTATACATACATACCTACCTACCTACCTGCCTGCCTGCCTGCCTACCTACCTACCTACATACATACATACATACATACATACATACATACATACATACATGCATACACGCATACACCCATACATCTACACGTGCAATAACCAAGCAGACATCAATGATCCTCAAGGCACTTGTATAGCGCGGGTTCAACCACGATGCATCTACCATTATCTACCTAAACGAGGCACTCAGTTGTGCGGTGCTGGTGGCCCCGCCGATGCCCTTCCAGGCGCAGATTCCTGTACTTCGCACCACTCACTCGCAGTACTACGCTGTATGAGAGTCAGGTTAGTCTTACCCTTACTGCCACTTTACTGGCACGCTCTACGCAGGCCTTCACCTCCACGGCCTCGTCAGAGACACTTTCGGTCGATGTTTCGACCTCTGCGATTATCCGTCGTCATCTCATCCAAGGACGGCTTGCCTGCGCTCAAGGTCTTGGCGCTTTGATCATACTCAGTAGAGCATTGCTGTTTGCAACGTGCGGCTCGCATTCCTTTGGGGCCCCGCAAGCCCTTCGCGCTTGCACAGAGTGGAGTTAGAGACCAGAGCTCGGCCAGGGCGTCTCGTAGCAGCCATGGACCAGGGTGAGGCGCAAACTACTCCTCTCGTGCAGCAAGATGAAGGCCACATGGGGTGGAAGCAAGCCGGCATCACAGTGTTTACGTTCGCAGCACCGTCTGCTGTGATGGCCGTGCCGTTCGCCATTTCAAGCGCCGGCTACGCCGGTGGCATGCTTCTATGCATAATCCTTACGTCGGCTTCGGTCGCTGCAGCCAACATGCTCCTGGAGATGAAGCTGCTGTACCCGCATTGTCGCTTGGTGGTCGTCGGACGTAAAATTTCTGTACGCAAGTTTCACTATAGTTCAATGCCAGAAGTGCTGCAATGACCCCAACTGGCCCAGGCAAGACGTTTGGAGATCTTGGTTTGGAAGTGATTGGGAGGCCCGCACAAGTGTGGGGCAACCTGATCCAGCTCGGGAACTTCTGTCTTTTCATGCCGTGTGCTCTTCGATTCTGCGGCTTGTCCTTGTATTCCATCGGCACTCTGGGTCCGCTGGGCAGCTGCATCGATTACTACGTCTGGATAATCGCAGGAATCTGCTTGCTGACTACACAAGTCAGGAGCTTTGACAACGTCCAGTACTTCACCGTGATCTCTTTCATGTGCGTCGTCGGCATGGTCATCACAATGGTGATCGGCGCCTTCCAGTATGAGCACACTCCCAGAATCCCCGCACAGTGGTTCGGTAACCCAGAGCCTAGCCCGGGCCTGAGGCTCATACGGCTTGCCGGTGGCTTCACGATCGGTGCTTGGGCATTCATTCCTGCTTTCCTCACCGTCGAACTGAGCACTTGCATGCGAAACCCCGCCGACTTCAAGAAATCCCTGCTGATGGCCGGAAGCCTCAACGTGCTACTCTTCGCGCTGCTCGGATGCACTTCAGATCATGTGTGGCTTTCTCACACCCAATCATTGTCCAAACGCACTGTATAAGGACCGTTGGCACTACCGTCGTTGCTCGCTGGGGTTACAATGTCGGCGAAGTCATCGCCATCACCACGGGCGTTGGTGCATTCGTGAAGGGAGACGTGATCAACACTCTCTTCAATGCCTTTCAACTGGGCGGCAATTTTGTGTCGTACATGCTGGACTCGGTTCCACTCAGTCGGTTCTGCCAGAGAAGTTGGGCTCCAGACTTCAAGGATACATGGACAATGCCGGATATTATCAGATTCTTCGGATACTCCTTGCCCACGTTCTTGTCAGCATTATTTCTGAGCACTTTCACCCCCAACATCAACACGTTGCTGGATTTCGTCACAGCTCTGACTACACCCTGGGTGACTCAGATCTATCCAGCGGTCCTCTACTGGAGGGTCCTCCACCGACGAGCGGCAGACAACATAGAGTGTGGGCTGGACAACCCTGTCAAGCGCTCAGAGAAGATCACCGTCGCTCTGGTGTTCACCGTCGGATGGATCAGCTTCTGTGCCTGTGCATTGAAAGCTGTCGGATACCTTGCGTTTGACGAACTCCGGCCGTCGTTTCAGATCGGATGTAACGACTGGCTTATTTGGAAATGGTCCCGCAAATAAGCGTGGACAGTGTGCAGTCATATAATAAAATCATAAACGTGCATACCAGAATGAGTCGAGGCCCTGAGCTCAGAAGGCAAGCATCACTTGGCCCAAGCTAGGTGTCGATCTTGAGGCCTTAGGCCTATGCCGGCAAGGTCGCCTTTTTCTCTTGGTCTCGGGAATTGTACTTGGCAATGCTGAGATAATTAAGGCGATGAGGCATCTCTTCGACTTAGCTTGTCGGAGGACTTGAGCAGGTCGGCCCAAAAAGTGCTCTTGATTTTCACGCGCAGGGGGTTGCCAGAGACTGTCAGAAGGTCGACACGAGCTCTGGTTCTCCCGGTGGTAGGATGATGGGGATGCCGACGTTGGTGATGGCGATATTCTGCTGCTGATGCTCAGAGTTCATGTTGAGGCTGTGGTCGTGGGTGATTCGTGGGCAAGTGTGACGAGGCGTACAATGATGACAGCAGGGAGAAAGACGATGAGGGTGCTCACACTGTTGATAGTTGTGGTGGGATGATCGAGCATGATGAGTGGGCCGTTGCAGTTGCTGGTGGACCGGGCGATAGCGATGGAGGTACTGGTGGGATTTGATGACGGAACCTTTTGAATGTGGAGCATGGTGGTGTAGGTGGTAACAGTTTCCGTGTCAACCCCGACGCTCGTTTTGGCCGTCTTCGCTATGAGCTTAGGGCGAGGTGATGAGGATGCTGAGGTCGGTGATGGTTCTGTCATGTGTGGGACCAGCAGAGACACCGCAGCAATTTCTGTACGCTCTTGCACAGCTGCTGCGATTATTTCCGGAAGAAGACTGCCACTGATACGCCACTTACTACCACGACGACGACGACGACTACGACTATAAATTTTACTGCTGCATACTGCTTCTTTGGTACAACTACTTCTACATACTCCTACTGCTACTGTTACTACTACTGCTGCTATGCTGATGCTGCTGCTGCTGCTACTACCACCACTACTACTACTACTACTACTACTACTACTCCTTCTACTACTACTACTACTACTCCTCCTGCTGCTGCTACTGCTGCTGCTGCTGCTGCTGCTGCTGCTAGTACTACCGCTGCCACTAGTACCCTCTACCCCTTCTCCTTCTCCTACTCTTACTCTCCTGCTGGTTTTACTCCAAATACGCTTACTCCTATTACTCCTCAAACTTCTTTCCCTATTCATATTGCTAATACTACCCCAATCCTTATTCCTCTTCCTATTCTTGTTGCTGCTGCTACTACTGCTACTACTGCTGCTGCGACTACTACTACCACTACTACTACTACTACTACTACTACTACTCCTGCTGCTGCTACTACTACTCCTGCTGCTGCTACTGCTGCTGCTGCTGCTGCTGCTAGTACTACCGCTGCCACTAGTACCCTCTACCCCTTCTCCTTCTCCTACTCTTACTCTCCTGCTGGTTTTACT